TCAAAACATACAATAATTTATAATCTTACTAACAAGGAACAAAATTACAACCCTTATTCTTGCTAACTATTTAAAGGTTCAAAAAATGCACTTGATAGAATTATCTTAATGGTTTGTTTATCTCAACTGATTACAAGATTAATTATAATTATGTTAAAGCTTCAAGATCTATCTGCCATAAATCATAGGCTGTAACATTGTCAAATATTCTACCAAATTTAAGGAAAATTTCCAAAGTCATTTAAATGATTTTAACCATAATTTTGTGTCATCCTTGCTTATTTACAAATTTCTTTCCAATATTTTAATCATGTACATTGAAAACTTGTACAACAACATCAAGTCTTTATCCCACTACGTGGGGTCTGCTACATGAATCTTTTTTTCTCCATTGTACCATGTTAAAAGTTAAATTCTCATTTAAATATAATAAAGAAATGTTATTTCTAATATTTTTTAACCAAGTCTTTCTAGGTCTACCTTTCTTAACATAAGTCAAATTTAATACATCATTGAAAGGCCGTTGTTTTATGTGACCAAACCATCTAACGCAACTTTCTCAAATCTTACCTTCCACTGGAGCTACTCCAACCTATTAACATATATGCTCATTTCGTATCTTGTCTCTAAGAGTAAAGCCACTCATCCACCTGAGCATCCTCATCTCTACAACACTTAACTTAATATTATGCTTCTCTTTGAATGGCCAACATTCTGCACCATAACGCATTGCAGGCTAACCACCATCTTATAGAATTTTCTCATAAGTTTAGTTGTAAGGGGGGGGGGGGGCTTTTCTATATCAACAAGCCTTGATGCGATTAACTTCAACCATCCAACTTGAATTCTACTAATAATATCCCCATCTATTTCACCATCATTCTGAACAATAGATCCAAGATATCTAAAAGGTGTACTCTTATCCAAATTCCAAAGTCACAATCCCCCCACAAGAACTACTATTACTAAAATTACACTCCATATATTCAGTTTTAGATCTACTCAAATGAAAGCCTTTAGACTCTAAGGTTGACCTCCATAATTAAAATGTCTTCAACTCCCTCTCTAGTCTTATCAAGACGAAGAATATAATCAACAAAAAGCATACACCATGGTACAACCTCTTGCAAATGTCTAGTGAGAACATCCATGACTAAAGCAAAAAAGATATGGGCTTAAGGCTGATCCTTGATGTAATCCAATAGAAATAGGAAAAACTAGGTCAAAGAACCTTGTGTCTAAACATAAGTAATAGCTCCTGCAAACATGCCCTTAATGACTTGAATATAAGCATTATTAACCTCTTTATTTTCTAGAACTCTGCAGCACATCTCTTGGAACTTTATCATATGTTTTCTCTAAATCAATAAATATCATATGTAGATCCTCCTTATTCTATCTATACTTCTCAATCAAACCTCTCAATAAATGTATAGCTTCCATAATTGACCTACAAGGCATGAATCCAAATTGATTTTGAGAAACATTAGTATCACGCCACAACCTATGCTCCATAACTCTCTCACATAATTTTAACGTATGACACATTAACTTAATTCCTCTATAATTGGCACAATCTAGTGCATCACCTTTTCTTAAAAATAGGAATCAACACACTCATTGTCCACTCCTTTGACATCTTTTTAGTCTTCAAAATAATATTAACAAGTTTAGTAAGCCAAGAAATTCCTTCATTTTTAAAGTATTTTCACACCTCTATTGGAATATCATCAGGTCCAACAGCTTTTCCACACTTCATTTTCTTTAAAACCTCTCTAACTTAAATTTTACTAATACGCCGATAAAAATAAAAATAAAAATATTTATTTTCAATTAGAGTGGTAAGGTCACTAAAGTCAATCGCATTCTCATAATTTTCATTGAAGAGTTTATAAAAAAATCTCATCCATCTTTGTCGAATATCCTCTTCTAATAAAAACACTTTTTTATTCATCCTTAACACACTTCAGTTGAAATAAATCCTTACTACTATTATCTCTATGTTTGGCTAACTTATACATATATCTTTCGTCATCCTTAGCATTTAATATATTATATAAATCATTAAAAGCTTTAGCATCGCATATTACTTACTTAGACTCTTTACTGGCCTCTCTATATTTTTCCATGTCAGAATTTTTACATATAAACTAATTTTTAAAACAAATATTCTTATTTTTTTATCTTTTCTTGCACATTTTAATTCTACCACTAACTATTTTTACTATTCGCAGCTTTTTCATTTGATACTCCAAATACATCTTTTATAATATTATTAATATCACTAGTTACTTTTTCCCAAATAACATTAGCTTCTTCATACACAGACAAAATATTATGATATAGTATCTTACTATCAAAAATATTTTTTGTTAATATTATTTAAATGCCTCGAACAACGTTTTACTTTATTTTTCATTTTCTTCCCCTTCATTTTAAAGTCTAAAACAAATAAACGATGTTTGGTACATAAACTTTCACTTGGAATAACTTTACAATCTTTGCAATCTAAACGATCTATTTAAAAAAAATAATAATCAATCCAAGTTTTATTATATCCATTCTTATAAGTGATGAGATGCTCATCTCTTTTCTTAAATAAGGTATTAACAATTAAAAAATCATAAGCTAAAGAAAAATCAAATATGATATTACCACCTAAATTAGTCGCTTAAAACTCATAGCCACCATAAATACTTTTAAATCATCTATCTCTCTACCAACATGTCCATTTAAATCTCCTCCAATAAAAGTGTTTTCTTCAAGAGGTATCTTTTATATTATTTTTATTAATTCATTTCAAAATTTTAATTTTGAACTTATATCCAAAACTATTAAGGAGCATAAGCACTTATAATATTAATAATCTTAGCATCAACACCAGTCTTTAAAGCTATAATTCTATCTTCAATTCTATTACTTTTTACAATATTATCCTTACACTATTAGCCATAATCACACCTATAACATTTCTAGTACAACTCTTACTAGAATACCATATTTTAATCCTAGACTATCAATATACTTAGTCTCCTCTCCAACCCATATAGTTTCCTGAATGCATAGAATATTTATTTTTCTATGAATCATAATATCTATTAATTCCATTAATTTGCTTGTAAGGGTACCTATATTTTAAGTTCATATCCTAATTTTAAATTCATGAACTAGCTTATTTGCTTACATACGTCCATGATGTGGGAACCCTTATCGATTTAACATTGCACCCGCATGCCGGTGCAGCGACTCTTGCACACTTGTCGCTGTATTCAGGCCATAGCGCGTCGCTTCCAGAGAACACCATAGCATTAACACAATATATTAAAATATTCATGTCATGATTATTCGACAAATTTTATGCTAGTTATCGACTACATAATACAACCCTCCACTTTTCTCATACAGGACTTAGGACCTTACAACTGCAGTTTTGTACATTGAAAGCTTGTACTAAAAATAATTTTTCAATCTTTACTAGAACTCAAACACGGAACATACTTCTCTTTGATGCTAGGTGAGTTTAAAAAAATCAAGATCATTTCCAAACAACTTTTCCCGCATGGAACAAAAACATAGGTCAACGAGCCAACAAATTTAAATTATTCAAGCACAAGTTTTAGTTTCCTCAAATAAGAACACTCAACTCGTCAAACTTTGATAGATATCAAATAACTCAACATCAAGCCATTAGAACACAGCAATCACCTACATTTTATGGTCCCTTTGCCTCCATATGAAGTAAATAGTTTTAATATTTTAACCATTTACCTTCAGCACGAAATTTTCACAAACCCAAGCTACATAAAAATCCAAGTGAGATTCCCATGAACATACTTTGGTCAATGGAAACTTCTCTTTAAATAACACCATTGGCTACAATTTTGTGGATTCATTTTTCGTTGTGCATTCTACAGTTGTGTAACCTATATAAACGCACGCCTTACTTCTTTTTACCTCTTGCTTACTCTTGCACTCAAAATGTTTACCTCCAAAATTTATGTGTGGTAGCTTATGTTGGACCTCGGTACCCACGGAACATTAAATGCAATTTTCAGGCATGGGAACTGCTGGAAAAGGTTTTCCATGCAGTCGAGTGGGTTTGACAGGTACCAAACCCTCATCAATTCCTTTTTCATTTTCTCTTACATGTGATGCAGTTTGTTAGCATTTTTTTACTTATTTTATGAAACATGTTTCAAATAAGTTTAGGCTTCAGAAGAAAAAAAATCAATTAGTTAAAAATCCCATAGCAAAGGATTTCTAGACAGTTGGAGTAGGGCTTGACAGGTGGCAAACACTATCCTCCTCTTTTTTTTTTTTGGTGCTACTTGCTATGAAGAAATGTTTTTGTGTATTTATTTACTTATTTTATCTAAAGCAATAAGTTAAAAATCTCCAGTGCATAATACACAAATTACAATAGGCCATTGAAAAGTACAAAGGTCAGACCAATGTTAAGTCACAGCAACTAAGGAAAATGAAGAGCGAACACCACTTCCCTCTATCATATCTTGCATAAGATGCAAGTGATAGTACCACCACAGATACTTCTCAATCACAACTCAGGCGGAAAAAGAAACAAACGCATAAAAAATAGTACTGGTGATTTTAAAGCATGCTTTACAACAGGCAGAAAATAAATCGGCTACCAGCACAGGGTATGATTTGCATTTATGGATTATTTACATTGTTCAAATGTTCAATCCACGGAAATGGGGACTAAAACAGTCATAAATATCACCTTTATAAGTGGGTATAAGAAGAAACAAAACTAAAATGTCATACAATGAAAAAGAAAATTGAAGGAAGCAATTACTAATATCCAAAGCGAGTACCAACAGCAACTGTCACAGAAAACATTCATTTCCCGTCCTCATAAGCTCTTAATAAAGAAACCATTGCACATGACATGCATTAGTAGACATCCCTAATGATTTTTTCAAGCAATAGAAGGAAAATGAAAACATCAAAAAGATGAAATGTAGGAGCATTTAGCTTACTCGAATGATGATGTAACCCTTCCTACTCTACTAACTGGACACCAGCGAACTCTATAAGGCTGCAAAGGGAGGGGAAAGAAGAATAAGTACAATTAATAAGCAAAGTTCTCATTGTATGTCAATTTTTTTCACAAAATGATGAATGCACGACAATGCAGGAAATAAATAATGTTTTCCATAAAAAGAGATCAACACAATTGAAAGCGTCACAAGCTGCATGAATTTTTCTTTACTATAAATGGTAACATGACAATAAAAAGTACAAGCACTTACAGCACACCAACAACTTCCGCATCACACGTGTAAGATACGCAATATTAAAAAAAAAATGCCACCTCAGATGTATAGAGTTGAATTCTTAATATACTAGTTATTACCCTTATTAGCTTAAGCTTTTAGGTTGTGAGTATAGACTATAGATTTTCTAGTATATTGGACAGAACTTCAACCCCCCATGCTCTGCCCTCCTAACAAATGGTATACATTGGCATCTCTGATAGTGGAGCAATAAGCCCCAATCCTCAAAGCCTTCAAGGCCATTCATAATGAAGATTCATACCTGAGCAACCTAAGGTGATGCCACAAGACCCATATCGGGCCCTTTACCATTAAAAGATGTAGCCTTCACCTTCAATTAACAAAAATATTAAAAAAATCAAAATGACTGCAATTAATATACACTTCCTCATTCTCTGAGTTGGGTCATAACACCATAAGTAGCACATACATCCCTAGGTTGGGCCATCATCTCACAAGTCCCCATAATCCTTACCCCATCAATCCCACATACATGCTTGGGTTGGGTCATAACCCCAAGTCCCACATACATCTCTAGTTCAAGCCATAACCCCATAAAATCATGCAAACTTCCTCAAATCACAGCTCATTACTCCATATGCATACATCCTCAAGTTGGCCAAACCCTGTAAGTTATATCATATATGTACATCCTTGAGCTGGCTATAACTTCACAAGTCCCAAATATATTATCAAGATGGATCATAATCCCACACGTGCCAAACAAATTCTCATGCTAGCCCATAACCCCATAAGCCACATGCATTCTCCGATTGGAGCATAACCTCATAAGTCCATCTCTGTCATCGAGTTGGCCACTTATTGGGCCACTCTATATCCATAAAAGTAAGACAACCCTTCTTCATATTGAAACTCAGCTGCCTAGCTAAATTCTACACTCATCAAAGTGGATGCCATCTTACTCATGCTCAAGAAAATGCTTTGAAGTGAGTCAATTTGCTTTAACTCAAGACGCCACCTTACTTAATACCCTATACATCATCATTCATACATATTTAAGCTACGTCATAACCACGTAAGTCCCAAATACATCCTTGGGTACAGTCAGTACCACAAAAATTCCACATATATGCTTGGGATGGGCCATAACATCATAAGTCTCACATATAACTTCAGGTCATATCATACCCCATAAATCCTATATGCATCTTAAGCCAGAGCCCCATAATCTGGCAAACAATCTCAAGCCAAGCTGTAACCCCATAGGTTATACATATATCCAGGGCTATGCCATAAACCCATTAGTCCTAAATGCATTCTTGGGTTGGACCATAACTCCAAAAGTCCCAAATACAACTTAAGCTTGGTCATTACCCCAAAAGTACCACATAAATACGCAGGTTGGATCAAAACCCAAAAAGTCCCATCTATATTATAAAATTGGATCATAATCCAATAAGTCCCACTTCTTCAGGCCACTTTAAATGTAGAGCAATAAGCAATGGCCATCTTAATATAGAAATTCATCCTTCTAGGTGAATCCTAAACTCACCAAGGTGGAGATCGCATTACTTTATGTGTAATACGCTTTGAAGTAAGCAAATTTAGTTTAGAGCTCCCTACTCAAGGTTTCCTTTATGGATAGAACCCCAGAGAATTGAGCCTCACAATGAGGTGTCCCATAGCATAACTCTGGTCTTATATGCTTAGAGCACATTCCTCCAAAGAGAGCCTAACCTCAATTCGAACATTCAAACTCTATGATAATGCCACCAACCAAGAGATAGTCACATATTGATACCTTCCACACATTCAAAAATGTGATGTTCCTCTAAGCCAACTTTGGTATGAATTAGCCGAATACAGTGTGTTGTACCTTCATGGATACATCCTTAAACCTCTAAAACATGATTAATCATACTAGTCCGTGCACATTTTTCCATCTAAGACTAACTTTTGGATTCACTTAAAAGGGATATAGCTTATGTCATACTACCACCCTGGCCTGCTCGTAATATTTGATAAAAGGAAACCAATTATTCTTAATTATTACTTCCAATTGTTATTAGGTTCAACAAGTTAAACTGAGATGACAAAATAGTGGAATCTTTATTAATGACCATCCATTGTCATAAATATAAATCCATCCTTCAATCGCCAAACAACAGTGTTCTCGAGTATTGAGCCAGAATATAATTGACCATGGAGGCTGGCACACATGAGGAGCATCAATCATCCACCAGAATTGACATAAACCTCACTCAGCCTTATCAAATAAACAAGAAAACTTCTTTGAAATCTAACCATAATCTAGGTTCGAAGCTCTATATTGCTAAATAATCATTTCCCAAAACTCCAACAACAACAACAACATCAAGCCTTTATCCCACTACGTGGGGTCGGCTACATGAATCCTTTTTCTCCATTGTGTCCTATTAAAAGTCAAATTCTCGTTTAAATCTAATAAAGAAAGGTCATTCCTAATATTTTCTAACCAAGTCTTTTTAGGTCTACCCCTACCTTTCTTAACACAAGTCAAATCTAATACCTCTACTCTCCTAACCGGGTCATCGGAAGGCCGCCTTTTTATGTGACCAAACCATCTAAGGCGACTCTCTCTAATCTTATCTTCTACTGGAGCTACTCCAACCTTTTCACGTATATGCTCATTTCGTATCCTATCTCTAAGGGTAAAGCCACTCATCCACCTAAGCATCCTCATCTCTGCCACACTTAACTTAGTATTATGCTTCTCTTTAATGACCAACATTCGGCACCATAAAGCATTGCAGGCCTCACTACCATCTTATAGAATTTTCCCTTAAGTTTGAGGGGTACATTTCTATCACATAACAAGCCCGATGCATTTCGCCACTTCAACCATCCAACTTGAATTCTACTGATAATATCCCCATCTATTTCACCATCACTCTGAACAATAGATCCAAGATATCTAAAACGTGTACTCTTATTAATGACTTGATCGCTCAAAGTCACAATCCCCTCACTAGGACTATTACTACTAAAATTACACTCCATATATTCCGTTTTAGATCCACTCAAGCGAAAACCTTTAGACTCTAAGGTTGACCTCCATAATTCAAGTTTACCTTCAACTCCCTCTCTAGTCTTATCAACAAGAAGAATATCATCAGCAAAAAGCATACACCAAGGTACATCATCTTGCAAATGTCTAGTGAGAACATCCATGACTAAAGCAAATAGATATGGGCTTAAGGCTGATCCTTGATGTAACCCAACCGAAATAGGGAAATACTTGGTCAATCCACCTTGTGTTTGAACACAAGTAATAGCTCCTGCATACATATCTTTAATGATTTGAATATAAGCATTATTGACTCCTTTCTTTTCAAGAACTCTCCATAGCACTTCTCTTGGAACTTTATCATATGCTTTTTCTAAATCAATAAATATCATATGTAGATCCTTCTTATTTTCTCTATATTTCTCCATCAAACCTCTTAATAAATGTATGGCTTCCATAGTCGACCTACCCGGCATGAATCCAAATTGATTTTGAGAAACATTAGTATCACGCCGCAACCTATGCTCTATAACTCGCTCCCATAATTTTAAAGTATGACACATTAACTTAATACCTCTATAATTCGTGCAATCCTGTGCATCGCCTTTATTCTTAAAAATAGGAATTAATACACTCATTCTCCACTCATCTGGCATCTTTTTAGTCTTCAAAATAGTATTAAAAAGTTTAGTAAGCCAAGAAATCCCTTCATCTCCTAAGCATTTCCACACCTCTATTGGAATATCATCAGGTCCAACAGCTTTTCCACCCTTCATTTTATTTAAAGCCTCTCTAACTTCAGTTTTACTAATACGCCGATAAAACATAAATCTTTATTTTCATTTAGGGTGCTAAGGTCACTATAGTCAATCTTATTTTCACAATCTTCATTAAAAAGTTTAGCAAAATATCTCATCCACCTTTGTTGAATATCATCTTCTAAGAAAAGTATTTTTTGATCTTTATCCTTAATACAGTTCACTTGAACTAAATTCTTACTACTCCTATCTCTTTGTTTGGCTAACTTATACATATATCTTTCTCCCTCCTTAGTATTTAATCTATTATATAAATCGCTAAAAGCTAAAGTCTTTGCATCGCATATTGCTTTCTTAGAATCCTTACGAGTCACTTTATATAATTCCCAATTATTAGATTTTTTAAAATTAAATCAATTTATATAACAAATCTTCTTATTTTTAATCTTTTCTTGCACAATTGGATTCCACCACCAACTATTTTTAATATTATGAGCTTTTCACTTTGATACTCCAAGCACATCTTTTGCAATATTATTAATATCACTAGCCGCTTTTTCCCACATAACATTAGCATTCTCATGCACAGAAAAAATCTTAAGATCTAAAATCTTACTCTAAAAAATATTTTTGTTAATATTCTTTAAATGCCCTCATCTAATCCTAGAAAAACGTTTTACTTTATTTTTTATTTTATGCCTTTTATTTTAAAGTCCAAAACTAATAATCGATGTTGGGTACATAAACTTTCACTCGGAATAACTTTACAATCTTTGCACTCTAAATGATTTAATTTTCTAATAAGAAAATAGTCAATCTGGGTTGTACTATATTCATTTTTATAAGTGATGAGATGCTCATTCCTTTTCTTAAATAAGGTATTAGCAATTGAAAAATCATAAGCTAAACAAAAATCTAATATGGTCTTGCCACCTTCATTCGTCGTTCCAAATCCATGGCCACCATGAATGCTTTTAAAGTCATCTACCACTCTACCCACATGTCCATTTAAATCTCCTCCAATAAAAACTCTTTCTTCAAGAGATATCTTTTGTATTAATTCTTCTAAGTCATTCCAAAAATTTAATTTAGAACTTATATCCAAACCTACCTAAGGAGCATAAGCACTTATAATATTAACAATCTTACCCTAAATTTCCCAAAACTCCAAAAGTATAAAAAAATAACATCACGAGCTCATGAACACTCACAATGACCTAGTTGGCTCAATGACTCCTACAACTAATTAATAGAGAATCACACGACATAACTAACATAAGCATTGAAATAGCCGAAGCATTTGTAGCTTTCAAGAGGATAAAAAATAAGTGAAGGGGTAGTGTGCGTGAGTTGGCTACAAACCAAAAAAAGAAAATGTTGCTAATTATCCATAGTTTTTAATGCAATAATCAAAGGCAAAATAGTACATGACTTGTCTTTCTTTAAAATAAATGATCGTAATCTAAAAAGATATAATAACCTTAACATTTATTATAATATAATATTAATGCTTAATGATGAATTAACTGGTCACAAATAACATAAAAGAAAATAAGAACATAATCATTTACATAACTAACTATGTAATCATTGATGACAAATAATTCATGATGGTTTTATATTATAGTTCTGAGGTAGTGAAATTCATCTCAAGAAGAGGAAAAGTCATCCTAATATAGAGAAGACAAAAGGAATCATCACTTCATAGAGAGAGAGAGAACAACATCCACAAAAGCTTCTTGTTCTGACAAATCCTTTGAAAACTTCAGACAATTCTTGAAACATATCTCCAAAACTCTAGGAGTCCTCAGGGTATTCGTAAAAATGGCCCGTTTAAGTCATTTGGAACTAATTTCAAGATAATATATCCTAGCTATGTTGGGATTTTTTGTCGAGAATGCTTCCTCGAAGTGAAGCAGAGTTCCTCATTGCATAAAGTGGTACATCTTTTCTTGATAAGTGAGCCATCTTATGTGATTCAACCTTATAAAATATTATTGGTTTGCTCTCTCCCACCCCACCTACCCAACCCTCCACAATCCTCACCCTCTCTCCACTCTATAATTAAGCCCCCATTCCCTTTCAAAAACAATTGCACATCACTGTGAAACACCTTCAAGTGTTCTGTTCTCTCCTTCAATATGTTTTCAACATAAAATAGTTTGTTATGTGCATTAAGTAATAAACTGAAACTACCTCATAACTTAAAAAGTGCCCAAAAAACTATTTTTGAGCAGACAAAAAAGGTGGCCAGCTACACCATGTAGCTAGTCTATTATGCAAAATAATGCAGCAATCCACAGATATAGTTTTCAGTTGGCATGAACTGTTAATCGTCATAAACCCCATAGCAAACACATCTATAGTTTACCATCCATTTCAGAATTCCTATATTTGGCTATTTCAGTAGTTTTGAATGGCATCTGTAACCACCGAGATAAGAATAACAACAATGCTCTGATCAACTCCAGAAAACCAAATCACAATGTACATACCAACAACTCTGCTGCTTAGGTAAAGCTACATAATTAAACGGAGACAGATTTTATATTTTGCCTATGCTCAATGAAAGTGAAGTTTTAACTATGAAAAAGATATAAAGCTTTAAGTCAACATGTGATACTTAGTTTCAAAGAGTTGTGGAAGGATATTTATTTTCAATAAAATTTTGAAGACGAAGGATATATCAAATGATTGGAGAAGAATAATTTTGATACCAATATTTTGAAATAAATACAACATTCAAGATTAAGCTTCTTACAGATAAATCAAACTTATGAGCATTACAAAGAAAGATAAGCGTAAGACCAATGGAACTTGGGCTTGAAAAAATTACAACAATATCAGAGAACCGATTTGGTATCATGCCAAAAAATGAACCACAAAAGTGATTTGTGTTAAGAAATAATAATAATGGAGATGTAAAGAGAACAAGAAATATTGAGATGGCATATGATTGTGTACTATAAAAATTGATTTGGTGTGCTTTAAGCCAGAAATATGTGTGCACAAGATATGATTATAGATATGTAAAATGGAGCACTAATCATCATTAAAAATAGCCCTAGAGTGATAAATTTTCATTAAAGATCCACAATAACCCCATTTCTTTTTGTGTTGGTATAAAGAAGCTTTATAAGGGATAATCAAAATGAGATTCCTTAGTATTTTTTATTTTTATTCCACAGATATAGTTCCACTTAGAAAGACATTCATTTAAATAAGAGATAAATTGAAATTGTGGAGGAAATACTTAGGCCATAGATGACCAAGAGTTTGGTAGAACAAATATTGGATATATGATATACAATTTTAGTGGCATGAAGTCAACAATCATTCAATATTATTAAGGATAAAGTAATGCCTAATTGTGATAGGATTCATTATCATGAATCTCCTCTAGATAAGAATGATGAAATATATATGGATATAAATGCGAGAGTTAAACCGGATTGTTATAATGGAGAAATGTCTCGAGAGTTTTATATGATAAAAAAAATATATCTTTGAGGCCTAAAGATAAATTTTATAATATTGAATTTAAATCATTGATGGCATAAGGATCTGAATAATAGGCTATTAAAAGGTAATTAACATTTAAGATGAATGTAACAAAAAAGTGAATGATGTGCGGCAAAAAAATAGAACAATGCATTAAAAAATAATTATATTAGAGAAAATATTTGAGTGACCAAAGTCTAAAAAGTGTAATAAGGAACTAAAATGTTTGGTCAATCAGGTTGAGACCGAACACTCAAAGTAGATTTAGGCATAAGTCTTGAACTAAAAAAAAAACTCAAAATTTTAAAATAACTTATAAATATGCCATAAATCAATAACAAATAAAAATATATATATAAAGCTTAAAAGAAACTAAAGCAAGCTAATTAAAACAAAAAGGGAAAACATTAAAAAGTTAAAATAAAATTAAAAAAAACATAAAACCCTCTATCTCCAAACCAGTATAAAAATCTAAACCTAAAAACTTACTTCACCTTGTATATAACTTAAAGTGTATTTTTTAAAATTAAATGATAATTTGAGGCATTCGCCTCATGCACCTCCCATGAAAAAGGTGTAAGGTAAGAGAATGATAAGCCTGGGGACGCTTATTAGGCAACTCATGATGAGGCATGCCTTAAACGCCTTTCAAAACATAAAAAAGACATCTATTGAAAATAAACTAGATGAAAATAGATTTGGGTAACTTAAATATGTAAAATGAAAGTTATATAAGTTGATAAAATTAGTATTAGAGGATTAAGAAGAAAAATGAGTAAACCTAAGATTATATGGAAAAAAAACTATTCTAATGATTTGTAAATAATATAGTTTACAACTCAAACAGCGCCAAACTAAAATAAAAGGAAAATTATTAATGATGCCTGCAAATAGTTGGAATAAGGCTATTGATAATGATAATGACCTTTGTTGGAAGGATAAAAAACATTTTAGTGCAGCGACCTGCAACAAATATTCACCCTAACGGAAAGAAAATACTTAAACTAATAAAGAAAAATTAGAAAATAATATCAAAGTTGATTACACAAAGTGATCGATCAAGAATTTGACTAGCAAGCACTACGATGAAAAAACAAGCACATAAAAGGAACAAATCAGCTTTTTTTCAGCCATCTGCATAGAAGCTTAATTAACTTCAAATAGTCCAAACAAGGTCAGTAATGGTAATGATGACCATAACAATCATCATAAGAAGAGGCTTATTTACCTTAATATGCATCAAATACTTTCATTAATATGCATTTAGGCCATTAACTGAAACTGCACTATGATTTATATATGCCATAAATAATATTTTAAAAGAGTAGAAAATCTTGAGACCACGCATACCACAGAGATAGTTTATAAAATATAAACCTTCATTGAGCATCTCTCCTTAAAATCATAAGGTAAGAACCTAATAAAGGCTTCAGTTGGCATAAAATGATAATAATTGACTAAAACTAATAACAAATGCATCCATGCTTCACTGCAAATCCTTCTAAGCATTCATGTTTGGACTTTCACAGTCATTTCATCAGCTTCGCTTCATATCCATCAATCCAAACTTGTACAGCATAGGTTACCTCCTAGGCATCCTCTATAATATGCCTTGTGTGGCACAGCCATTACTAATAACAGCCAATCAATAAGCGTATGTCTGTTTATACATGTAGTTGATCCACTATACAATGTTCTTATCTGCCTAAATATGAAAACATAAATCATTCTCACCAATCAATTTATTAAAAGTCCATAAATCTCCCCAAAGAAATAATTTAGATTAAAATAAAAATCAAAAGATGCAATCAACAAATACCTTATGTACAACCACATGGACAAAATGATAAATGACAAAAACTGTAAATGATTACAAGTTGATGCCATAATGTAACTAAGGATTCTAAAAGTTTCATATCAAATATAGAGCATACAGAAATAAAGTTTCATGCAGAAGAAAAAAGTAAAAAAGCAACGTCAGCTATAATTTTATGGAGGTTTTGCAAGCCATTCAAGAATTTAATCAATGAATTAAACTATGAGAAAGTGATGTATTTGAAATGTACCATTTCCAAAAAATTAAGATCATAAAGTTCATCATCATGAGTCCATTCATCCATGTTAAATGATGGCAAAAAGCAATAGCCATTTCCATAAAGCCAGTTGCCTTTCTCAACATTGCGACAATTTGGGCATTGCATCATTCCTTTAGAATTGAAGGCTGAACCTATGCAATCTAAAGAATTTAAAAAGGGAATGTGTCAATAACAAATTATTAGTAATTATTAAGTTTAATAAAAAGTGATACATAATTTAGAAAGGAACTAACATTTAATAGAAGAAAACTAAACCAAAACTTATTCAAAAGGAACAAAGTTTACCTAGAAATAATAAAAAATAAATTGTGGGAAAAAAAAAGACAAAAAAAACAAAAAACAGCATCTTGTTTTACTCCTTGAGCAAGTCAAAAGTATCAAAACTCAATATTTATCTTTGAAACAAAAATAAATAAATAATTATTAAGAAAGATAGATAACGCAGGTGTGCTCCTGACATATGCCATCATATCCAATGCTCTATTAAGAGGAGCCTGGAATCTCCATACAGCAAAAATGAAATACAAAATTAAAGTAAACAAACAACTTTGAAGTTTCTAATGACTAATATCTTAAATTGGAAACAGAGTCAAAATATAAGCAAAAATAGCTAAAATCATCAATAAACATTTGCACGAGCAGTTGGATGTAATGACAATAAAAACAAATATTATACTTACTAATAAAGTTTATCAATATTTTTATCATTCTCTTTGCAAAAATGCAATCAGAACATTTTTAAGGATGGAGACAATACTGGCAACTATCACAAGCAATTAGAAATATTACTGCAATGAAACAAAGAAATTGAGGAATTCTAACAAGATGACCAACTATCATGAGATATGGATGACTACTAATCCAGGATGATATAGATAACATGAGATAAGAAGACCTTTACCATAAGCTAGATCTTTCAAAAATAAATCAAGCATAATAAGAAAGTGAACATGACATCTGGCAATAGAAAGTAAAACATGGCAGATCTCTAATAAAAGAAGACTATCATTTGTTCTTAAAAAGAAATAATGGGCTTCCCACCAACAAAATTCTTCAGGAATGTTTTGATGCACCCAAATAACAAACATACAGGACTAAAAAATTTAAGAGATAACTGAAGGTTGAATTGGATGCCTCTAGAGAGGGAGAATGGGATTGGGGGGTTCCCCTCTGTGGATATTGACTGCAGCATGAATTTGGAAGCATTCCTTTGAATTACACCCCTTGAAAAAATTTTAGGCTCAAATACTGATGCAACCTAAAAACAAACATGGCTCTAGAAATGAAAATAAAAGCACACTTCCTTTTCCATTCACATAAATATTAAATAACACAAACAAACACAACAATAAAACAGTACTAACACCACTTACTACTTATAATAGAACAAGACACAACACAACTTACAACTTATAATAAAACAGAACACAATACAACTTAAAAATTATAATAGCTTTAGGGAAGAAAGATACGGGTGGAATGGAAACCGAGGAGAGAAGAAGAGATAGAAGTTCGAGACGAAATATAATAAGGAAGGTAGAAAAGAATAGCTCGCAAGCTATGACAAACCAGCAGGTTTCACTTTCCAAATATTCATCACATATCTCTGTCTCACAAAGAAAATTAGCCCCAATTTATAGGAGAAATAAGAGGGAATAACATTTAATATATCACATAAATGTGCCCCCAAATAGACACTAAAATCCACAAAATGTGCCCCCAAAATAGCCACTAAAATCCACAAAAAAGGCCCACATTTAAAGCCTACTGCATAAGAATCAGCAAAGAGAAAACCGAGCAACCACAGCAGGGAAAACGAGCAGCCAACAGTAGAACAACAATATGGGAAAAATAGCCAGCATAGGGAAAGCCCGCAACACTTAGGGAAGACCAAACATCAGCAGGTGTACGAGAAGACAGCAGAGAAAATGAGTGGACATTAAAAAAAACTGAGAGATAGATGGGAAACCGAGGGGCCGACAGGAAAAACAAAGGGTCAATAGAAAAAACTAAAAAGTCAATGGAGAAAGAAAGCTAGAAACACAAGTAGAAAATAAAGTATATATAAAATGGGAACTCTTGACTACATCAAATACTCAAGTTGTTTTAAAGCTCATTCAAAATTCAGAAAATCATATGCTATTAATAAAAATATTTAAATTAATGAGGAGAATACAAATAACCAAAATTTATCATCACTCCTCAAGGTTGTTTATCCAACCTCATCAATTCATACATGCACACAAAATTAGGAACAAAAGCTTGTTGAATCTATAAAATTAGAGCCTTCGGACCCTCTCCGTGTTGTGCTTAACCCTAAGGAGCATATCATACCACATATGCTTATAAGTGCAATATTTCATATCCTCCGGCTAAGCTAGTCCCTCTTCCCACTCCAACAGACTAGACTATTGTTGTCACAAAATTTAAACAACTTTCTAGGTCAAATGTTAGTTTATCTTCAATTGAAGCTCAAATAGATGAGATTTCATATCATATTTTCTAAGAAGAGGAGGAAATGAGAAAAAAACCCATCATTATTCTTAAATATTCAAAAGCCTACAAGAAAGGCATCTCAATTGAGACACTTATGATGATATATTCACCGATTAAATGGATAATTTCTACTTTTTATCATATTATATTGAATTGTGCTTTTGTTTTTTGCATTAATCCAACAATTCCTTGGAAAGCATGGGGCGTGTTACTAAGAATTTCGGCACAATTGGTTGGGATCTAGAGCTAGCCAAGCTCATTACGAAGAACTCACTTAGTAAATGCTTAAAGATCAAAAGAAGAAGCCGTGAGTTCCAATTATGTAACAATCACCAATGGAGTCAATTAAAAAAATAATTTAATCATTCGCGGAAGACTACTAAGTTATCATAGACTAATATAAAAAGGAAATTAGCAACTCTCCCAAAGGAGTGGCTACTAGATGGTATTATCAAGAAAGCCAAAACAAAGATATATTGTAATATGTTTATAATATCCACTTAGGTCCCTTTCTGAGGAAATAATTTGACTCATTGGCCAGTATGTTTCAGCAACCAAACCATAAAATTGTTCAATTTTATTGTGCACTTACCAAAATACAAAGTAGTCCTGCTAAACGCCTAAGACATGCACCACTAAATTTAATTAAGCAGTGAATTTCCCACTAAACTCCCATGATACCTTGGAGAAGAATATATACTATGTAAGGAAATTTAACCCCAACCAACCTATTCTACTCGAAGGATGAAAACATAACTGTTTCCCGTACTATTCCACTCAACGAAAACAAGAAGAACTTAATGCAAAATGACGAGTAACCTTTGTGCTGACTTCCCACACTACTACTACGTGCGCTCATAAGTCATTACATCCATCCCTCCATTTTTTTCCTTTAGAGTGTCTCCCTACACTTCATAGCATCCATCCCTCCAAGTTTTCTTTGGAGGATTTCGTCCCTGGGATACCAACACCTCCCCAACAAGTACAGAATAACACCACACATATTATACCCCCAAACCGCATAAGCTTAGTTCCTGAAGAACAGTTTGGACTCTGAGTGTACACACTGTGTATATATCTATAGACAGTGTATATCAAATCAATGTACACATAGTGTGTAAAATCACAAGTCGGGACGGTTCTCCCGTCCAGACTCAGTACAGAATAATTTCTCCAAATATGTTATATACTAACAAACAGCAATTCAAACAACAGCAAACTTTGAGTCTACAAACAAAAATATTTTCCCCGAAAAAAAAAATTACAATACAGAAATTTGTCTCACTCCGGCACCATCACCGATCCAACACTACACATTTCAACTCCAAAATAAAAACTCCTTTCCCCATTCAATCCTGCAGAACTTCCAACACCTATCTCACTTTAAATCGCTCAAACTTCAACCCAAAAGAAAAAAAAAAAAGCAGACAGAACAAGCTCTTATACCATCATCCAACGAACTTCCCATGTGCTACCCCACCCAATGGATCATCAAACTCCAGCTACAGCCTCGAAGCAAAAGTAAACTTCACAAATCAGGAAAAGCGGCATAAATGCATAAACTAAGGAAGTAAATACAGAACAAAATAAAATGACAGGATGCAATTGCTTTCACCGACCGAGATGAAACTCGTGAGCGCACTGCAACTTGACCGTGGACCTCCCTCCGCCGGTCATGACCACCTCAAGGCAGATCGAGCAAGCTGTAGCCACCTCTTTATCCCCACCACCGCCTCCGTCTCCTTCCGCCACATCTGACTCCCCTGAACCCATAGATTCACTGCGCCGTGAACAGAACCAGAAATTTCCAACAAATGTTCCGAGTTCCCTCTTAAGCGCGGCGCGTTCGCATGCCCTCTCCTTAAACTCGAACCCTAGAATCGAGCCGAGGAAATCTCTGCTACTACGCTTCGCCTTCGGTTTCTCTCCCAAAAATCTCTCCCCGCTCCCTCTTATCTACCTTCAATCTCCCAAATTTATTGCGTGGTCACAAGAAAAAGGAAAGGCGAGTGCGTCGGAGAGGACGTAACATATGGGTGGATCGAGCGACTATATGCGGATAACAAATCTACCGTTCAAAATTATTTGTAAGGTAGATGATAAAGCCCGCATAGACGTTATATGCGGAGAATAACAGTAAGATAATGCAGAGGGCGGGAGGGAAATTGAGAGCCCATTAGTTTTGACCGGCGGTGCACAGAATCTAGTCCGGTCTAACGGGCCGAAGCTGTCCAGAGAGTTGAGGACTACAAGTTAGGGTTATGGAGCAATCTCGCTTGAATCAGCAAGAGGGCAGCATGGCAATATAATATCTGAGAGAAAGACATAAATGGTAAATAAATAATATCTTTCATTATAATAATATATGTTGATTTGATTTTTTTTTATACATAATAATTTTAAATAGGGCATTGGAGACAATTTTATTACTAATTTCTTATGTATTTTGTTCTAATTCTATTTATTACATAAATCATAAAATATTTCTTTTTTTGTATTTTCTATCGTTTTATGTCTTTTTTTTTTCAAAAATTATAAAAATACATTTACAAATATTCTACGATCAAATTTTTATCTCATATAATCTCAACCTTAATCGATATTTGTTCGAAGAATGTTTGAATGTCAATCGAATTAATTTGGGTCTGGAAGATGAAAACAAAACTCGCTTCTCATATATTTTTGTATATTTAAAAGTAAAATAGCAATAGAACTTAACTCCTCCATTATTTAAGTAATTTAAGTAGTATTTGCATATATGATCTATGAATATTTTTTTATGTCTTACTTATAGTAGCAATTATGGAGAGTGTGAACTGCAAAACAATATTTGTCTTATTTAGGCTTCGTTTGGAATAATTTTTTTATGTTTTATAAAATTATATTTTAGTTCCAAAAATTTTTAAAAAGCAAGAGAAAAATAGTTAACAAAAGCTATCACGGGCTTCGTTTGAGACAACTTTTTTATTGCTTTTTAAAGTAAAACTTTAATACAAAATTTTTTTGAAATATATATATACTAAAGCCGCCCCTTAATCTGCAGGCGACATACTTCACCTATCGATCCGGCTCAACTTCCATATACTCGAAAAACGATTCAACCGATCTTTCCCAATCAAGATAATCCTCGATGTGCAATCTACCATCGAAAAAGGGTATGTCAAGTTTGATTCGAAAATCGCTGTGAGTCCTGTCTCTGCCGGTTTGACGGCGTCTTCGATACGGAATGATCTGGCCTTCCGAATCCGACTGCTCCACTGATCGCCCAAGGTTTATCTCCTCTTCGGAGTCCGTCGACTCCAAAACCCGCGTATCACGTTGACAATCTCGACCTGCTACGAACCCACGTCTCGTCACCGGCAAATTCACCGGTCCGGCTGTACGAGCGGCTTGGTTCCTGTCGAGATGAGCATTGATTAACTTTAACTCCCGGCGTAATTCTCCAAAGAGATGGTGCATATCCGCCGAAATTTCTTCTGTTCTCCTGACGAGATTATTATGTTCGGCCCACAGGCCATTCAGGCTGCGTTCTTCACCGGCGGCCACCCGGTTGCTCCCTTCTGCCATCCTTGCTCTGATACCAGAATGCTGTCGGAGCTCTCCCCAAGTCTCCAGAACACCTACAATAACTAAAAATAGAGGAACAAAAGAGGGTTTGCAAGCAGCAATGGAACAGTGGTAAAGCTCTATGTATTTCTTTTCTAACTGTAAAAGCATCGGCCAAGGGAATTAAATCATCCCAGCCATACTCCAAACGGACAAGGTCTGAAAAAGGTACTAGGTAGCAGAACAACTAATTAAAGTAATAAGGGGAAGTGGAGCTCAATCCCACTAACTAACTAAGCTGTAATTGAAATAACTAATAATAATAAGAGCTAATATTTCAAGTAATAAGTGGACTCATCTGGCAGCTCCTAAGCAGGTATTAGCAGCTCCAAACAGGTATGCACCACATCATTCGCCTCCGCTCTCAAAAGAATCTGTGTCGACAGATTCGAACCTGGTTGTACTATCATCCGGAGGGTTGTAGGGGTAGATGTCGCAACATTGAAGGTGTGCGAAGTAGTGAATTCCGCTGGCAAAATCGACAACATAAGCATTGTTATTAATTTTTTTACTAACAGAGAAAGGACCCCACTTCTTTCTCGTGAGTTTGGAATAGTTGCCCGGTGGCAGTCTTTCTCGCCGCATACGCACATAAACCAAATCTCTTGGTTGAAAAATCTTCTCCTTGTGATGAGCATCTGCATAAAGTTTGTATTTGCTGTTTTAATCTTGCAACTTTAGCCGCACTTCCGCTAAGAGCTGTGTGAATTGGTCGGCTAAGGCATTGGCGGCCTTGTTTTGGGTCTTGGGCAATACTGCAATATCAAGTATGGTGTTTGGCATCTTAGTGTAAACAATGTTAAAAGGGCACATACCGGTTGACCGATTGGTCATTGAATTGAACGCAAATTCTGCGTGTGCCAACACTTCATCCCAATGTGTCGGGTGCTCTTGAACCAAACAGCGAAGAAGGTTGCCGAGAGTTCGATTGACGACCTCCAACTGCCCATCCGTTTGAGGGTGATACGAGGAGCTCAGTTGGATTTTTGTGTTCAGCTTCTTCCACAACTCTCGCCAAAAATGACTTATGAACTTCACATCTCTATCGGATGTGAGACTTCACGGTATGCCATGGAGGCGCACAACTTCTTTGAAGAATAACTTGGCTACATTAAGAGCATCAAATGTTTTTTTACAGGCGATGAAATGCGCCATTTTGAAGAATCGATCTACCACTACCATGATCGAATCATTACCGCGTTTTGTCCTGGGCAACCCCAAAATGAAATCGATACTTAAGTCTTCCCAGACTGATTCGGGAACCGGCAAAGGAAGATATATACAATCCCGCGTTCTGCCCACCACCCTTATATCCTTGACATACAGCACAACGTTGAATAAACTTCGTGACATCTCTTCTAAGATGGGACCAAAAAAGACGTTTCTGTAGTTGGGCAATTGTGTTGTCACGACCAGCGTGTGCCGATAGGCCCCCGGCATGAGCTTCTTGAATCAATCGTTGTCTCCATGATGATTGTGGCACGCAAAGCATGTTATTTTTAAAAAGGAAACTTTGTTGTATAGAATACTCACTTATAGGCTCCTGATTAGTGCATTTATTCCACAAACTTTGAAAGAAATCATCACAGGTATATAATTCATGTAAACCAATCAAGCCATTAAACTCGTTTTGCAATTTAGTTATAGTTGCAATTCTCCGGCTCAATGCATCCGCCACCCGATTTTGCGACCCACTTTTGTGTTTTAAAACAAAAGTAAATTTCTGTAAAAAAATGATCCAACGGGCATGCATACGGTTGATATTCTTTTGAGAATTAATATACTGCAGGGCTTTATGATCACTGCTCAAAACAAAATACAGATGTAGCAAGTAATGCTCCCATTGTTTTAAGGCTCGATTCACAACATACAATTCATGTTCATATACGGTCCATTTTTGTCTCAACGGGCTCAGCTTTTCACTGAAAAATTCCACAGGTTTGTTGTCTTGTGACAAAACCGCGCCAATGCCAACAATTGAAGCATTTGTGTCTACCAAGAATGGCTTGTCAAAATTGGGTAAAGATAATACAGGGGCGGTGGAGAGTTCTGTTTTTATGTTGTCAAAGCTCCGTTGTTGTTCTTCCACCCAAAAGAACCGAGACTTCTTTAAGATGTCTGTGATTGGTGCCATCACAACACTGAACCCCTTAATAAATCGCCGGTAAAAGTTCGCCAGTCCATGGAAACTGCGTATATCGAATAGAGATTGAGGAGGACCAATCTACAATAGCAGCCACCTTCCGCGGATCCACCTTGATTTCGTCTGCTCCAATAAGAAAGCCCAGAAATGCAACCTGTGACAGAGCAAATTCACACTTGGGTAAATTTAAATACAACTTATTTTGTCTCAGGATATCAAAAAATGGCAGCCAAGTGTTTGATGTGATCCTCCATGTTGGAACTGAATACTAGTATGTCATCAAAATACCTACACAACAACGATTTAAGACCGATTTTAACACTTTGCTCATTAAACACATGAAAGTTGATGGTGCGTTGCACAATCCAAATGGCATTACTCTCCATTCGTACAGGCCTTGACGTGTCTTGAAGGCGATCTTCCATTCATCGTCGGGTCTCACTCTGATTTGGTGATATCCGCTTCGTAGATCAAGCTTAGAGAACATTTGGGCTCCTGATAGTTTCTCTAACATATCCTCCATTCTCGGCATAGGGAATCTGAATTTAACTGTGATCTTGTTTATGGACCGGCTGTCCATACACATCCTACAGCTATCATCTTTTTTTGGCACAAGCAAGGCAGGCACCGCGCAATGGCTAAGGTTTGTTTGGATCAACTTTTTGTCCAACATTTCATCCACAATTTGCTGTAGCACCTTGTGCTCATTCAGGCTCAACTTATAATGGGGTAAATTCGGCAAGTTTGCTCCCGGCACAAACTTAATCTGATGCTGAATTGCCCACAACGGTGGAAGACCAATGGGCAATTCCGGTGGTGCAATGTCAGCAAACTGTTGCAGCAACGAGCTGACCTCCTCGGGAAATTAATGTAATTGCTCTGATACCAATTGAAATTACTGAACGACAAGAGGGGGGTGAATTCGATGATTAAAAACTTCTTTTAATGAAAAGAAATATCTTTTTATGACTTTATGCGGAAGCGAATTTTATTCACAATAAAAAGATATATAATCAAATTCATCCACGCAATTAACCACAATAAAAATAAATGCAAAACTAAAGTGCAGAAAAATAAAGGAAAGAACACACCAAGATTTTTATAGTGGTTCGGTCAAACCATGACCTACGTCCACTCCCCGGAGGCACCCTCCGAGTATTACACTAAACCTTTAGTGATTCTCCTTTAGCTCCCACAGCTAGGCGGAGAAGCCCTTACACAATCACTTCCA